GAATACAATCTTTTAGATTTTGATAGGATATATTATTATGCAAGAGATCTTATTGATATACTATCTTATTATATTTTATTTTAAAGTAATAATTATTTTGATTATTTGAATTTCTCCTAACTTGTTTTGTTTTCTTATGGAATTATTATGTATATTTTTGTTTATATTGTTGTTAGAAATTCTTTAATTAAAATGATTAAAAAATAGCTCTATTAAACTACTTTTATTTTTACTTTACTTCCAATCGAATGCATTATTTTAAATCCTTATGTATATAGTTATTTCAATAATGAAAAGAAAATGGCAGGAGGAAAATGAATTTTTATTTTAAAATAAGTATAGAACGTTTAAAAAAACATATTTTAGAATTTATAATGTTTACAAAATTTGGTATATTCTTATATTTATTTCTAATAATATATAATTTATATTTAATTTTTTTATATAAAATCAGTGTATTTATTTATGTTTATTATAATTAATATATATATATATATTTATTCACATTTTTTATTTTCTAATAAAATATTAATCAATCATTATTTAATTTTATTATTCTTCTTCATCTTCATCTTCTTAATCGATATAAGCATTAAAAGGTGTTTTAAATTAAGATAATCTTTAATTTTATCTATTTTTTTATATATAAATATATTAAAAATAATAATATTACATTTAACCATCTTTTAAACAAAGAATAACTCTAATATTTTCAAGTGTATTTTAAAATAATTCTTTTCTTTATTTCATCAAATCTTTATCACAAGAAAGGCTTTATGCTGGATCTTTTTTTTAGAAGCAATACTAACAATTATTAAATAAAATTTGAATATTCTTAATGCAAATTTCAAGAGCATTATTAAGTTCCTAAACTTTGCTGAATTTCTTCAGAATTTCATTATTCCAAAAAATAAATAACTACTCACTTATATTAGGGCAATCCAAACATTTCATAAAAGTATTAAAAATGTGATCTTATCCTAATTCTGAATTAATATTTCCATTCAAAATACTTTTGTGAGCGAAATATTCCCTATAACTTTTTAAAAAGGGTAACGCACTTTTTTTAAATATAATTAACTTAGGTAATGTATTACATTCTTATTTTCCTATAAAATTATTTTATTAAATAAATATTTGAGCATTAATATTTTTTTATTTGGAAGAAATACAACAACCCCCAGAACCCTTTTTTTAATTCTAAAAATTTTCAAGGACAATTTTTTATGGATTTTGGGGATTATTAGCATTTAAAGGATATTAAAAAAGACCTTTTTTGGAAAAATTAGATAAAGGGATTAACGAAAAAGATACAGAAATTTCCATATCGGGTTTTCTTAAGTTTTTTTTAGCCGAATATTTTTAAAAAGTAAATACAAATTCAACACAAAGATATATATTTTTGATATCTTGTGGATGTTTTATTATTACAGTATTGTTTTCCTAAAAAAGCCATTTCTATTCATTTTATAAATTATATTAAGCAATAATAAATTCTGTGTTTCCTAAAAAAAGGTTCTATTCTTTATCATATAGACATAAGTAAATTTTTCTTTGACCAATTTTGTCTATTGCGAATTCGTTTTTATCTGCAAAAGGTTATCCATCAGCCTACTGTATTTGGATCTCCGAAAGAAAACATTCGGAATTAAGATTATTGTTTAGAAAAGGTAATTCTACATCTTCAGTATTTAAATAATTCAAGTCTTCATATAATAGATATTAATTGAGTTTAGGCTTTAATGTTGATGAGGGTAGATTTTTGAGCTGTTCATGCTATTAGCGAATAAAAGAAAGTCTAAACTAAACAGGCAAATTTTAAAATATTTCTACTAATTCTTTAGGCGAATGCTTATTTGAATATTTAATCTATATTTTTAAAAAAATATTTTTTATAATATATCAAAATTTATATATTTATTTTTAGACTTTAAATATAGCAGATATAATTTATTTATTATTTCCTTTATAATTATTAATGATTTCATAAAAATGATCATAAGTGATTAATTATTGATTTTAAGAATGAAAAATAGCAGATATCTCACTTTATTTAATATTAGTAATTTCTGCATTTATAAAAATCTAATTTAATTACGATATATTAGCCTTTCCTAGTATTTTCTAAAATTCAGATTTTAAAAAAAAGTTGATACTATCTTCTATTTTAATTCCTAAAAGACAATTATTTATGTAAAAATCTATAAATTAATCTAAACTAAATGTATTATTATTAGTACTTTTATTTTTGTACTAAATACCTAATTTTTACAAAGCATTATACATTTCTTATTAATTTAATTAATAATTAGTCTTATAATTATTAATATATTTATATAGACAATTAAGTTCAATTTCTATTTCTTTTGAAAAAGGCAATTAGAAATTAATATTTTCTTTTTGTTAAAAGAACTCGAAAAATTTTTAGTAAAGAACCCTATTATTATTATTATTATTATTATTATTATTATTATTATTATTATTATTATTATTATATGAAATTATTTTAAAAAAAGTTTTTATTTTCTCATATTATTAATTGTCATTTTTATTTTTAAATACAGTTTCTTCGCTTTTTTTTAAAAAATCATTTTCATTTAAATATGGATTATTTGTATAGAATTCATCGCAAATTTAAAATGGATTATTTTAAAAAAATTCAAGATAAATTTATTTTAAATTTTCTTATTTTTCTTCTTCTAATTAATCCTTTTTTTTATTTAATTTTAAACTTTTTCTTCTTCTTTTTGTTTTTAATTTTTGTATTCTGAATGTTAATTTGAATGTTAATTTTAATCTTTGAATATTTTTTCTATATTTTCAGACTATTTTTTACTGTCCTTTAGTGAATCGTTTAGCATATTTAACTTTTTTTTTATTTCGTTTCTCTTTTCTTCAAATTTTTAAACTGGTAAATCTTTCAAAAAATCTTAAATAGAGTCTACACTTGCTTAGTAATTTAATTATTTATCTAAAATACTCTCAAATAGTTTTCTAAGATTCTTTTATTCAAGAACAACATTATATTTTTTCAAAAAATCTTCCAAATTATCTAAATTCCAGTATTTTAAAGGCTATATAGCATCTTAAATACCTTATTTTCTTTCCGAAAATAAAAAATTTAGAAACAAAACTCTAAAAATCTCTTAAATATCATCTAATAATAAAGCTAAATCTAAAATTTAAAAATAACCATTTAAAGCGAATTAATTTTAAAATGATTGTATTTATTTAAAATTCAAGTTTATTTTCAAAATTTATAATAACTACTAAACTTCATAATTTTCGTATTAATAATCGGTTTTTGCATAATCTAAATAACTAACCATTGTTTCCGAAAAAGAAACATTTATTTTTTTTAATTCAGCTTTTATTTTTTATATTACTTTTGAAGTTAAAATACTATCTAATTAATTTACTTTATCTATATACTTTTTTAAAAAATATATAAATATACATAATATTTTATACTGAATTATAATAAATAGGAATAAATAAAAAATCGCAAAATTCTTAAATGGAAATTTTATTTGTATTTTTACTAATTTTCTCGAATATCTTATCTATAAAAGCTTTCTCTTTTTCTTAAATTTTAAACTTTTTTTTCAAAAAATTATTGAAAATATCCTTAGTACAATCCATTTATTATTTATTCTAAAGTACATAATCTGCAAAATAATCTTCCGCGCATATTTATTTATGTTAGATGTCTAAAAGAATAGCTTTTTATAACAATTTGAAAATTCCACTATGATAAATATGTATAAGGAAATTAAAATAAGCCATTTTTTATTCATTTCCTTCTTAATATTCATAAAAAAGTTATTTTTCTAAACTTTTATTTTCATTTTTTGAAAAATTGTCGTCTATTTTATACAATATTTCCCCAAATTTTTATTCTGAATCTAAAATAAAGGAATAACTAAAATCTTATTCTGTAAAAAAAACAAGGGCATCAATTTTATTTTCGAAGGTCTTACTTTTTATTTGGTCCAAAATTAAATTACTTTTAGTATCTTAATCGTCGTTTAAAATAGATTATTTTATTTCATTTTTTATATTAATATCATTATTATTATTTGTTACATTAGAATCACATTTTTCTCTATTAGATATTATTTAAGAATATTCGTTCCAATTTATAAGATTATTATTACAAGTATTATTATTTATTAACATTTAACTGAAATCTATTTACTCTTAAATACTCATTTGACCTTAAATAATACTTTCAAATTCATTTTTATTTATTTTTCCACTTTAATTTATATCGAAAGCATTAAATGATTCTAAAAACTTTATTTTTTAAAAAATTAAAATTAAAAATAAATTATTTTTTAATGCATATAGAAAAAACATATATATAATAAAATAAATTATATAAATATTTCATACTTCGTCTTTAGGAATTTTAACATCAGTAAACTCAAGTAAAGCTTTGAAATCTAAAAGATTTAAAAAGTCATTTTAGTGAGAAAAAATATAAAAAAGTTAAGAAATATTAATATTTTCTTACTCTATATATTTATTTATTTTATTTTTTATAATAGATATATCATATTTATTATTCAAGAGATCTATCAAAAATTTCTCATAAATGATAGTTTCCTAATATTCTTAATTATTTTTATTTCCATAATTCATAAAAATGGCATTTATTTCAATAGGCTTTAAATCCATTTTCCATTTTTTCATAAATTCTTTAAATTAAGAAAATTATATATTTCCCTTTCCCTCACTTAGGACTTAAAATTAATTTTTAATGTCACATTTTTAAGCTATTAAATGTCTTCTAATTCTTTTCAAAAGTTAATAATTATTAATTTCTCCTTTTTCTATTGCTTAATAGAACTCTTCATATGATATTTTACCATCTTAATTACTATCTAAAAATGTAAATAATTCATCTAGTTAATCAAATGTGAAATCGAAATTTAAAAATTTAAAAAACATCTTTTTATTTTATTTTATTTTATTTAATTTTTATTTTATTTTTTTACAGAAAGTGAATTTATATTTATTGAACTATTTGATGAATATTAATTATATATTGTTTTTAAAGACTTTTCGTTCTTTTCTTAATATTCTAGTATTTTTGCACGGATTTTTTCGAAATTCATATGATTTTATAATATGACACTTTAAAAACGAGGAAATAATATAAAATTATCAGTCTTTTCTTAAACAAAATAATTAAATAAAGCTTCAATTTCTTAGTCGTTTGTTTTATTTTTTGTTAAATCTTTTACGTATCTTTTAAATTCTTCAAAACTTAATTATTAATCCTTATTTATATCTATTTCATTAAATTTCGTTAATAATACTTATTCTGAATTTCCCTCAATATTCTTTTTGTTATTTTATTAATTATTAATAATTTTTTTTAATTTTTAATTTTTTTTACTGATTTTAATTTATTTAATAATGGTATAATATCAACTTTATATGGAATATCTTTTTAAATTATTTTAATAAAATTATTTAAAGTAATTCTCATTTCTTAATCTTAGTCAAATTCTTCAAATACAGCTATTTTTTTATATAAATAAAATAAAAATAAAGCATTTTAAATATAAATTAATACATTCAATAATATCATTTAAAATAGAAGATGAATATTCTTTTAATGAAGGAAAAAACTTAAAATCCTATAAAGAATTTTCGAATTCTTAAAAAGAAATAAACTCATCATTGTCTTTATCAAACTTTTTAAAAATATAACGAATTCCAACATTTTTTTAATCCATGAAATTTTCAATATCTTTAATGATAATTTTTGTAGTGTTTTCGATTATGTTTTTTTATATTTTTTTTTTCTTTTTATTTTTAATAAATTTATTTTTAGTATTTTTATTATTTTCAAGTTCTTTTGATTTAGTTTTTTCCCGTTTTTTTTCTTTTTCATCTTCTTTTTTTTTCTCTTTCTCTTTTTTATATTTCTTGGATATTGTTTAAATCAATTTCTTAAATTCTATATATTTTCGATCTTTAAAAACATATTTTTAATTGCAAAAATATTCTATTTCATATTTATTTATTTTTTCTTCATAATCAAGTTCTTTTAATATATCTAAAAACTAACAAAAATTATAAAATATTAATTAAATAAATAATTAAAATAACTTAATTAGATGTAATTTCCTATTTATCAACTTATTTGCACTTTTTAATAAACTATTTATAATTATTATCAAGAAACTAATACAAAGAATCGAATACTTTTTACTAAATTTCATTATAGAAATTTTCAAACTTCTCACAATCAAACATCTAGTCGTTTTTATCAAAAAAAAACATAAAAAAATCATCAAAAATCTCTTACTTTTTATAACTATCAATATTAAGTTTTTTTAACAATACCTAATCTAAACTTTTTTTATCATATCTTTAATTTAAAAAGACATCATCAAATTTTAAATTTTCTTAAAGCATTTAATTCTTTATTATATTAATAAATAAAACAGCATTATTTTTAATTTCACTTTTAGATTTTTTTTTTTCTCTTATAGTTTAATTGTTTTAAATAAACTTCATATATTTATTCTAAAATCTATATTTACCAAAATAAACTCCTCCAAAAGCCAAATCTTCAAATGCATCTTAAATAATTTTCTTTTCAAAATTTTAAGGAAATTCTAATTAATTATATAAAATTTTCTCCAATTAATTTAAATTCATTTACTAATCCTTTCCTTTCATAAATACATCATCAAATTTTAAATTTTATTCTTCCAAAACTTCTTATATTTTCAAATAAAATTAACCTATTTTATCATCCAAAATTTTTCGAATTTCTTACATATTCTTTCCTTGAATAACGGCTGAAAATTCATCCATAGTAATATAGTTTGAATTATTTAAATCAAGTTTTTAAAACAAATAATCTAATTCCTCCTTTCTAATATTCTTATATATAACTGGCATCATTTCATTGAAATCTTTTTTACTAATAATACCGTCTCCATTTAAGTCTATATTACTAAATATTTCACTAATATTAATAGTTTAATTTTTCGACATATCTTTGATTTCCTTTTTTTATATTTTTTTTTTAAAATAAATAAATAAATACCTTTAAAACTTTCAAAGATTACTTTTCTTTAGAAATTCCTTCGAATAAATCTTTAAGCGAAACATCTCCATTAGGATAAGAAATTGTTTTTAAAAAGATTTCGAAATTCTCATCAGTTTTCAATCTTAGATCTTTTTCAATTATTTTAATAAATTCTTATTTTCCAAACCTATCATTTTATATATCTTTTGTATGAATATAATTTTCTATTTCTGCTTAATTCAATTTCATAAGCCATATAATGCTATGTTAATTCAAATTAAGTTCCTTTTAGGATTTTGATAGTTCTTTAAAATTACTTAAAATATTTTTGAATTTCATACAGTCTATCAAGTCTGATTTTCCATTTAGTTTTATAAAAAGCTCGTTTAATTTTTTCTCAAAATCTTATGTGCTGAAATTTATTTAATTAAGTTTATTGTCTAATATTGGTCTTTGAATGTATTATTGATTCCCAAAATTAAAATGATCATCAATTTGGAGATTGTTATTTTATAATAAGCGATTTATTTCTATAAAAATATTCTTATATTCTAAAAATTATTAGCTTATTATATTTTAATTTTATACATTTTCAGAAAACTCTTTTTTTAAAAAAATAAAGAATAAATATTAATTTTTTTATAATAATATTTCCATAAATTAATAAAAATATTTATATATATAGAAAATAAAATAAAACATATTAAATCTAAAAACTCTTAAGCATTAACTGAATTGTTTTTTGAAAGAAAAGCAAATAGTTCTAAATAATCATTATCGTCAGTAAAATACTTAATATACTAGACTTTCTTTTTGAAATTTAAATAATCTAATTAAACATTTTTATTAACATCTAATCCTATATTAGCCAGAATTTCGTTTCTACTTAATTTTTATAATCCTTATTTTAATAAATCAATTACCCTTTGTAATTATGGAGATATTTCTTTATTTATGATTGATTTCTGTTGTTTTTTAATTAAAAAAGTTGTTTAACTAAATTCAATAGTATTATTTTGGCAAAAAGAGTTAATTTACTAGATTAAAATATTAATTTCAATTTCTTTATTTTAAACAGGAACATTCAAAAACTCACAAAAAAAATTAAACTTATTTTTATTTAAAGATTTTAAAGAAAAGTTTTAATTTAATTTTTCAATTAAAATTTTTATTTCTATATTTTATTTAGTTTAAATTATCTCATATATATATTAGGAAAAAGATTATTCATTTTTATGTAAATTTTATGATAATTCTTATAAAAATTATATTAGGTTTGTTTATATTATTTAATTGAAAACTTATTTTAGATTTTACAAAGTAATTTAATCTTTATTTTCTGGATCAAATTATTTTTTTAAGTTTTCTTTTGTTTAATCATTTGCTATTTTATAATTCTCATATTCAAAAAAAGTAAAAAAAGAAATATTTGTTAAATAATTGAGTCCCTATTTACTTTCTGATGATATGAATATTTATAAACTATCATACTTTTATTATATTATATTAAATAAATTATTTAATTCAATTTATAAATTATCTAAATTAACTTTTTTATATTAAATATATTTTAATTAATTTATTTTTTAATAGAATACCTTATTTTGATTTTTATGTTGCTTTTAAAAATTTATCATAAAAAATATCTTTGTAATCGTTTTTACCGTAATAATTTTTAATACATTTGATTTCATTTTCATTAAAATTTAATCCATTTTTTAATAAAATTTATTAAAAATCATAAAAATCTATATATCCGTATTAATTAATATCAACTTTTTAAAATTATTTTTCTAAATTAATATTTTCTTATTCTAAATAATCAAAAGCTTTCTAAAATTATATATAAAATAATAAAATAAAATTAAATAAAATAAAATAAATAAAAATAAAATTATATAAAATAAAACTTTGAGAATTTCTTTTAAATAATGTTCATTATAAACTTATTAAGATTCATCTTTTTATATATTTTTATTTTCTAAAAAAAAACTCAAATCAAAAAATCCAATTTTATTTTTATCAAGAAAACTTTCCATTAATAACTTTTAGTCGTTTTCTAAATAAATTTTTAATTTCTATAGTTATAAAAAAAAATCATCTTTTCTTACTCTTTAAGTAATAAAATTAAAATCTTCAAACAATTAAAAAAAATTTTAGTTTATAACTTTACATTAATCTTAAATTTAATTTAAAATCTTTCTAAAAAATACATTATTATTTGCTTTTTTTAAAATTAAAAATAATATAAAAAAATAACATTATATAAAAATCATATAAATTATATTATATATATAGATATATAATAATATATATAAATTAATAATTTTATTTATATTATATATATTTATATATTATATATTATATATTATATATTTAGTTTTATATAATTTT